CCCCCCCCCCCCCACACACGGATGGATGGATCCTTGTGTGTGTGTGTTTCCGTTTGCCCCCTTTTCTGGCGTGCATGTGCAGGCAGAGTGTGTCGAGAGGCGGCCGTCGGTCTTTCGGTGTCTATGCGTCGGCCCCTCTCCTCCCTCCCTCCCTCCCTCTTTATTCTCTCATCCACGCACCGAGGTCCGCGAGCGCCTGTCCCCCGACATCGCCTTCTCGCCTTGCTGGCCGCTCCTCACTGCCTGCCATGCTTGAAGCGGGGGCCGCAACCGGCAACTATGGCGCTCAGACTGGGTGGCATGCAAGGCGTACGCATGGCACGGATGTCTGACGCAGCGATGATACGCGGCGATGATCCAAGGGAGGCTAGCTGCGCCACAAGGATGGCCGGGACAAGACACGGCAGTGAGTGAGCATATCGGCTGATATGGCGAATGTCTGGCGGGCTGGCTGCGCGTATGTATGATGTGTGTCGGTCGTCCTCCGGACGGACTTGTGTGATCGATCGGCATGAATGGTCAACATGAGGCTCCCTCTGCGCGTGTGCGGGTCCATGCATGGTGTGGGGATGCGGTTATTAGGCTCGGCGTACATTTGTCAAAGTCGTCCAAAGGACGAATTCCTCTGCGTCGGTTTGCCTGCCTGCCTGACTGGTCAATCAAAATGTTTGGACACGACTAATGTGAATCTGTGTGTGCCGTTCGATTTGGCTGAGTGCCCGTGCGGAACATTCAGCCAATGAAGAAGTCACCACACACTCATACACACCCAGAGAGCCCGAAACCGTCGATGAATATCACACCCACATCCCAGACTAAGGCACCCACCGCCCCTTAGCGATCGTGTCCCACCCCTGTCTGTAGTCATACGTCTGCTTGTGCGCTTCGGCAATGCACTCGACCACCAGCCCGCCGATCTTGCGGGGCAGCCTCTCGAAAAGGAGGGACTCCCAGGCCTCCCTCTTCTCCCTCACCACCTCCTTCGCCAGCGAATGTATCATCTTCTGCTTCGGGAAGCCCTGGCTGTCCAGCAGGTCTGGCTTGAGGTCCAGCACGAACACGGCCACGGCAATGGTCCAATCCCCGATGCGCGAGTACAGCGCCTCGAGGATGGCCGCCACGTGCGCCTCCATCTGGAAGTAGTGACACATGGCCAGCAGGTACAGCAGGCCGCTGTAGGACTGGCTGCCGTCCACCTTGTGCTTCTTCTGCGGGGGACCCTCGGATGCGGCCGCGTCCGCGGCCGCGGCCGCTTCCTGCGCGGCATCCCCTGCCTGTGTGTCGTCGGTGGGCACGTGGAGGGCACCAGGCAGGTCCTGACACCACCACACGCATCACACAGGGGTGGTGCCCGTGTGATACATACATACCTTCATGGCAGCTATTTGCGTCTTGAGCACCTGACGTGAATGATCGAATGGAGGAAGCAAACGACGCACGTGTGCATCAGCGAGAATAGAAGACAGCAGCTGGCACCTGCCGCTTCCCACCTCTGGATTGCCCACTTCTCCCATTTCGAGCAACAAGCCCATGTGTTTGAAGGTCTCAGGATGGATGTCGGGCACCTCGACGGACTGTGTGGAGCTCTCGGCAAACCCCTCACCGTCCAGCGCGACAGCAAAGTAAGGCGAACGCTTGACCAGAAGATCCTGACGCGTACACAAACCAACCAACCAACCGAAAGGCGCACATGGAGGCCCACTCCGCCCCTTTCCGTCCATCCATCCATCTTTCCTCCCTCCTCACCTTTTTCTCATGGAAGGTCTTCTGTGCATCGCCCGACCCGACGACTATCTTCACCAGCGAGGCCTCAGCCATCATGCGCAACGCTCACCAAGAGGCGCTCTCCACCGCTATTTCTCAATCGAACTCGCTATTTTCTCATCTGCCACGGTCCTGCAGCGCTACAGAAGGGCCCTCATGGGCTGGAAAGGGCTCTTCCGCACCGGGCGATCCACATTTGCGAGCTTGAATCACGAGAAGCGAGAAATGCGCTTTCCGGCATTCAATCCCAGTCACAGCAGCTGACAAGATCCAGCCAAAACAGTTCGTTTCAGTCGACTTCAAAGTTGCTCGGGGAGGTGAGATGAATGCGCACAGATCAGCTGGAGATATTCGAGCAGATAATATTGAATGAGTTGGAGCTTGATTTGCCTCTTTCAGGCCCCAGACAATCGACGCGATGAATTGGCTGCTTCAGCCAGAGCCGGGCGCCGTGTGCCGCTTCTGCCACTCATGTGACGACACTGTTGAGAGCGGCATACTCATTGCGCCATGCGGCTGCAGGGGCACTCTCAGATGGGTGCATACGAGCTGCCTGGAAAACTGGCGGAAACCGGCCGGCGGAACAGGTGGGTGTTCAGAGGGAAGGAGAGCGCATTTCATTTCAACTCGCAGGTCGGTCTGCTTTCTTCTCCGTCTCCAGGCAGGGCGAAGTCGACGTGTGAGGTGTGTCTGAGGTTCGCTACAGAAGGAGAAGAGAAGGCTGCTTCGTGGATGGCTTCTGTGCGTTCGCTCAGGGGGTATCACCTTGGGCCGCTTGGTCCGTTCTGTCTGCCGGTCGGCCTCATCCCCGACGCCCTCTTCTCTCTCGCCTACAGCCTGATGGCCTGTCTGCCGGTGGCTATGGCAATCCTACACAGCTGCGACAGAAGCAACATGCTCGCCAGAGCTCTCCCTGTCTGTCATTTGGTCCCCATCGTCATCATAGTCGGTCTCACTCTTGCCGCCTTCGACTGGTTGGGGGGGCAACAGCATGGGGGCAGTGGTTCATTGAGGTGTGGTCTGCGGATGGCTATCGCGCTGATTGTGGTGGCCGCCGGGACCCCCCGGGTGCTCGGCAAGGACTTCTGCACGTTTGCAGCAGGGGGATTCCGCGTCTTGGGTGCCCATTTGGCAGTATGCGACAATGGGGCGCGTCCCTTCCGTAGAGTGGTGGCAGCTTGTCTTGTGTTACTCATACTGTCGCTCGCCTTGCTGCCTTATGGTCTGTTGAAAGGAGACAAGGTGCACCAGGCCACACGAGAGGCGCTGTTGCAGCTTCAGCACCGCCGTGCTGCTGATCCTGGTGGACTCCTTATAGGCATGGTGTCGCTTTACATAAGAGAGGGGTCCTACTATCTCATGATCGCGGTGTGGTCTCTGACCCCTCTGGTGGTTGCGGCATGTTGTGGAGCCGGTGGGGCCTGTCGCTCATCCCGCCCTACTTGATTGTCGCGCTGCTGGTCGCCATCTCTGTGTGGAAGCGGCGGGCGATTGACCAGCTGATGGAGGCGAGTGGACTGTATTCAACGATCCCCGCTTCTTGTATCGTTGCCATCTTCGGCGGCGTCTTCCAGGATCTCCTCCATTCGGCTCTCTTTCGCCGGTCCTGGTGGATATTTGAGGATCTCACGCAGTATGATCTGACTGGCTTTGGCCTACTGATGTGGTTCCCCATCGCGACAATGGTCATCTGGGAGGCGCATTGGCGGGAAACTTGAAATGTGGGTTCTACTGCAGCGAGCACGTCTGGTACTGACGTGACTTGATCTCGCCCTGTGTGTGTATGTGATGTATGCAGTGTGCTGGCCCTCACTCGACTACTCGACGACCATCTGCGTGCGGGCGGATAGGATTAGCGTATTTGTGTCCATTTGTATGTGCGTCTGCGTGTGTGTATTCGTATTTGTGAGGATGGGAATCGATAGGGCTGTTAGAGTGGACTCAGTGCACAAAGGTGGGGCGTGGATAGAAAGCCAGGAAGCATTTTTGGCCTGTCTCACGTTAAACTTTCTTGCCGTTCTTGTTTGCGCTTTGTTTTGTCGGTGGGTCGGTTTGCGCGGCTGGGTGCTGTCAATTGTTTGTCTGATTCGCATAATGTCGTCGCCCGCCCGCTTGATTCCACTGGCAGAAACCTCGCCGCATACAAATGCCTCCCGCAGTCACAGTGAAGTCATGGCTAGGCAGGTAGAAATATACAGAGACACATGACTGAAGATGGCTAGGCGCAGGCCGCCCCACCGCTCCACCCCTCTCCGCATACAAGTTCCTCACTCAACAGGCAAGTCGACACGAGGCACACAAATATACCTGTCTCCCCACAAGCCATTCGCCCCGCCGAACAGGCTGCCTTCCTACGTCAGCCAGCATCACCTCCACACAGCCACAGGAGCCGTTCCAGAATTATTGTGGGTGTCGGCTATAAGCCGGGGCGCAGGTGATCGAACAGTCGTCCAAAGAAAGTGGCCATACTGCACACACACAGCGGTGTAAGAGCACGTGACAGTACCCACTTGATATGTGCTCACTTGCCAGCGCCAGGTATGCAAAGGCCCACGACAATGTTGAAAGGCGTCCAGAGCACCAGCATCCAGAGGCCCATGTTGTCATATGCCTCCAGCGCCCCCACCATCGACAGGCACCAGCGGACGATAACATTCGCAACAAGATGTGGAGCGGCAGCCAAGGCGAGAAGAGCGATAGCCGAGAAGAAACCTGCGAGCGCGTCTGTAAAGAGTCGAAGCTCCTCCGCCACCTTTCCAATCGCCGGCCGCTTCCACACACTCACCGCCACCAGCAGGGCAACCACGAAATGCGGCGGGATCAATGACGGGCCGATCTTGCCCAGAATCACCTCCCAAAACACAATGTGCGTCAGAGACCAAATGGCTATCAGTATGTAGTAAGCCCCCTCCCGCACATACAGCGACTCCATGGCCACAATCGATCCACCAGCAGCAGCAGCATCAGAACCACGTCGGTGCCGCAACCGCAATAGCGCCTCTCGTGTGGCCTGATGCACCTTGGCGCCCTTGATAAGGCAGTAGAGCAGGAACACATGAGACGCCACGAACAAAGGACAATAAAACAACCCCACTTTGGCGAGGGAAAACGCCCCATCGTCGCATGTGGCCAAGTGCGCAGCTAATATGTCATCCACTTCGGTCCAGCTGTGGCTGCCGAGCACTCGTAGCGCCCCAGCAGCCGTCGCAATAAGCGCGATAGCCATCCGCAGACGACACCGAAGCGAAGAGCTGCCCCCATGCAGTCGCCCCGCCAGCCAGTCGAAGGCGGCGAGAGTGAGGCCGATCACGATGGCCGTCGGGATCACGAAATGGAGAGGGAGAGCTCTGGCGAGTATGTTGCTCCTGTCGCAGCTACAGATGGTTCCCAGCAGCAGCGGCAGACAGGCCAGCAGACTGTAGGCGAGAGCGAAGAGGGCGTCGGGGATGAGGCCGACAGGCAGACAGAACGGGCCACGCGGCCCGACGTCATAAAGGCTGAAGAACCAGACACAAAGCGATAGGCAACACACATCCATGAGCAAGCCCCTCTCTCCTCTAGGTCGGTGTATCGGTGTGGTGTGTGCATACTGTCGACACAGGTCACAAGTCGACTTCACCCTGCCTGAAGCACACATGTGCCGTGCCATGAGCCTCATGTGACAATGAAACCACCCCGCCCTCCTCCCATCCCTTCTCATCTCTCAGTGCCCACCTGATCCGCTGCTCGGCTGTCGCCATTCTTTGAGGCACGCTTTGTGCACCCATTTGAGAGTGCCCTTGCAGCCACATGGCGCGATGAGTATGCCGATCTCAGGAGTCTCGTCAGAAGCATCATGGCAGAAGCGGCACACAGCAGCCGGCTCAGGCTGAGCCAGCAAAGACAGCATCGCCTTGCTCTGCTGGCTGCCGTGAGTGGCTCAAGGACCTGACAGACAGGCAGACACTTCAAAATTCATTCATCGTCATGAGATGCTTCCAGCACGTATGCATCCTCACTCACCGGAAATCGATTTCGAAAGGGGCGATATGGGCGAGCTTGAAGCAGAGAGAGCGGTTTCTGATGAGGCTGTAGTTGGTTTTCTTGTGCTCTGCTCAGACCATCCGAAGGAGATGGCCTAGATCAACACAGGTTGACTCAAGTATGGGGACTCGAGAGCGATTGAATGGATGAACGTCTGTCGTGAAAGTCCTCAGGCAGTGCCGGTCATGCAGCGAGCTCAACCAATGGGCGCTGTGAGCGTTGACAAGGCAGGGAACTGCCGCTGCCAAACTCGCAGACGACCGGCAAAAGCAAAGCACGTCTGAGGACATCGCATGCACAGCCAGGCAGCC